GCGGCGTGCAGCCCGATCCATAATATGTAATTGCTGCGGCGTGCAGCCCGATCCATAATATGTGTAATATATATCTGTTGCGGCGTGCAGCCCGATCCATAATATGTAATTGTTGCGGCATGTAGCCCGATCCATAATATGTAAAATATCCTCACTATTGGGTCCTCGACCCCTCTCAGTCATTTAAAAATCACAGCCTCTCGGGCATAATGTACGGACGGGATCTCAGCCCTCATATCTCTTCCTATTTATGATTAACATTTCAAAAATCTGGTTCATATCATTCTTAAACAATTGGAAACATGACTGAGGATATAAATTCTTTAACAAAACAAGTGAGGAAAACAAGTCAAAAATTCCCTAAGGGTTCTACAGGTCGGCACAAGGCCCCAAGCATGGCAACTAGCCCAATTCACAATAATAACGTATATGTCTCAATCAAAAATGTAGTAAAATATCTTTTGGGATGGACCAAGTTACAATCCCCGTATTATTGAACCTCACGCTCGTCACATAGCGTGTATATCAACTTAGTATAGCACTACGTTGTGACAAATCCGGAGTTTCAAACCCTCAGGATATCATTTAAAATCATTACTCACCTCGAACTGGCCAAAACTCTAGCTCGCTATGCTCTTGCCTCTCAAATTGGCCTCCACGCGCGTCAAATCTATTTAAAATCAGAACAAATAGGTCACAATATGCTAAGGGAACATAGCCCAAGCGAAAACATTCGAAAAATATCAAAAATCTCGAAATTAGCAAAACCCGAGCCTCGGGCCCATGTCTCGGAATCGGGTAAAATTTACATTTTCAGAATCTTCATACCCTCACAAGTCTAACCATACCAAAATTATCCAATTCCGATATCATTTGGTCCTTCAAATCATCATTGAAAGGTTTCACAATTTTCTTCCCAAATTCCATCCCAATTCACGAATTAAATGATGAATTCAGTGATAGATTCATGTATACTAGCCAAATCTGAGTTAAAATCACTTACCCTGATGAATTTCTTGAAAAACCTTCGAAATATTGCCAAAATCCGAGCTCTCTAGGTCAAAATATTAAATAAAACCCAAAACCTCGTATTTATAGGTACCCCCTCAGATTTCAGCTACCGCGAGCCGCACCAAAACGATCGCGGACCGCGCAAGCCAGTGCGGTCCGCGCAAACACAACCACGGCCGCACATGCCTTCCTCTGCAGTGACAGGCTTTAGTATTTTGGCCATAACTTTTGCTACAGATGTCCAAATTGAGATATCTTTACCTTTCTGGAAACTAGACACGAAGGGCTACAACTTTCGTTTTTGAATCACCTCAATCCTTGTAGATCAAAAGATATGAGCTTCCGAAGTTGGACCGACGATCTATGGATCTTCATGAATGCGGGCCACATCACTTGACCGCGCCCCGCGCTAGGCCACCGCGCCCCGTGCACAAATGTTTGCCCCATCCATTTTCTAAGTTTTGGGATGTCCGTACTCGCTCAAAACTCACCCGAAACACACCCGAGGCCCCTGGGACCTCAACCAAAAACACCAACGCATCCTAAAACATTATTCAAGCTCGTTACAATCATCAAAACACCTCAACAACACCAAAACCATCAAATTACCTCACATTCAAGCCTAAGTTCTTCTAAAACTTCCGAAACACGCTTTTGCTAAAAAAAAACTCAACTAAACCACGTCCGAATAACCTGAAATTTTGCACGCATATCCTAAATCACATAATGAAGCTACAACAACTCTCAAAATTCCATTCTGACTCCTGGATCAAAATCTCACCTATCAACCAGAAATCGTCAAACTACTAACTTCGCCAATTCAAGCCTAATTCTACACCGGGCCTCCAAAATAAATTCCGATCACGCTCCTAAGTCTCAAATCATCTCCCAGAGCTAACCGAACCATCAGAATTCACATCCGAGCCCTCTAACTTATAAGTCAACGTCCGGTTGACTTTTCCAACTTAAGCCTTCTTAAAAGAGACTAAGTGTCTCATTTCTTATCAAAACCACTCCAACTCAACTCTATTAAACAAGATACGTAAAATGAAGCATAAAGAAGCTGAAAATAGGAAAAACAGAGCGATAACTCATGAGACGACGGGTCGAGTCGTCACAAGTTGCTACACACTGGTAGGCTATTTCAGCAATATTCAATTGACGAATATATAAAAATCGAAACCCAAAGACTGGATTTTGCTTCGTTCAATCAAGATTTATTTAGAATGCATATATTGCAAGGACTTCTAGATATTTTAAGACTTGGAGAACGAGATTCTTCTAACATTGGTAAGCAAAAATTCCTTTCAGCTTCTTTTAGAGGTGGACCTAGAGATATGCGACAATGATATATGGATACTATTGCATTAGTATAACGTTTCGGCAAACCATATTTGTTTATAACTATGACCTGTAATCCAACTTGGCCGGAAATAAAAGAACATTTGTGGACAATTGATGAAGCGCAAAATAGACCTGATTTAATTAGTCGAGTATTCAGAACTAAAGTTGAAGAACTGAAAACAGATATAAGCAAGAGAAATATCTTTGGAAAAGTTGCTGCTTATATGTATACTGTTGAATTCCAAAAACGAGATTTACCACATGCTCATTTCCTTATAATATTAGCTAACGAATATAAGTTATTGACATCGGAGGCTTATGATGGAATTATTAGTGTTGAATTACTAGATGCTAATTTGGATAAAAAAAATTACGTTCGATTGTTCTCAAACATATGATGCACGGTCCATGCGGTAATCTGAATGCGACAAATTCATGTATGAAAAAAATGGGCTTTGTAAGTTTAATTATCCAAAAAAATTTGCTAAACAAACATCAAAAGGAAGTGATTCTTACCCCGTCTATAAAAGACGAAACACAGGAGAAGTTGTGAAAGTACGAGAGCAACATTTAGATAATTCTCGGGTTGTTCCATACAATCCTTTTTTACTTGGTAAATTCAACTGTCATATGAACGTTGAGGTTTGCTCTGACATAAAGGTTGTTAAATATCCTTACAAATATATTTATAAAGGACATGACAAAATTGCATTTTACGTACATGATAATGATACAAACAAAGAAATAGATGAAATAAAGGAGTATCAATCTGCTAGATGGGTATCACCACCCGAAGCTGCTTGGCGTTTATTTAGTTTCTCTATTAGTGAGATGTATCCAAGCGTTTATCATCTTCAATTACATCTTAAAGGGAAACAACTTGTTTCTTTTAAAGGCAATACAGATATTAACTCAATCATTAATAATCCAATGATTAAGAAAACAATGTTGACATAATTTTTTCAGATGAACAGAACTACCAAAGATGCCATAAAACTTAACTTATTATAAAAAGAATTTCCTGAACACTTTGTATGGTCAACAACAGACAAAACATGGACACTGCGATAACAACGTTGCGCCGTTGGTCGTATCGTAACATGTCACCCAACTAAAGGAGAACGATATTATCTCAGACTACTGTTGCTAAATGTGAGAGGACTGAAATTATATGCAGATCTTCGAACTATAAATGGGGAACGTTATAATACTTTTAGAGAATCTGCAGAAAAAAGGGACTGTTACACTGTGATAACAGTTTAAATGATTGCATGTCAGAGGCAGCAAGTTACCAAATGCCATATAGTTTAAGGCGTTTATTTGCTACATTATTAGTGTATTGTAATCCAGCTAATCCAAAAAAAATATGGAAATAATTTGAAGAGTCAAATGTCAGAAGATTACAAAGTGTTACCTAATGTTGAAAAAAAAAATCCAATATCAAGTTTTAAATCAGATCAATGATATTTTACACTCTATGGGTCATAATATAAATGAATATGAGCTTATCCCAGAAACCGTTCAACTATCTATACTGGAAAAAGAAGAGAATGAGGTATTCATTGAAAGAACCATCAGGGTTAGTGAAGAGGATATATTGTTACACAAAAAACTGGACACAAAACAATTGAAAGCATACAATGTGATTATTGACCGAGTATTTTCCAAGAAACCAGGAGCTTTTTTTATCGATGGTCCAGGAGGGACTGGAAAAACTTTTTATATCGTGCTTTATTAGCGACTATACATAGTAAAGGGTACATAGCTCTAGCAACTGCTACTTCTGGCGTTGTTGCTTCAATTCTTCCAGGTGGGCGAACTGCACATTCACGTTTCAAAATACCTATAGACATTGATGAAAATTTCAGCTGTAACATTAGCAAACAAAGCTCAACTGCAAGTCTGATTCGTGATGCAAAATTAATTGTATGGGATGAAGTATCTATGGCTAAAAAAAAGAATGCTTTATATTTTTGACTTGCTCTTAAAAGATCTTATGGATACAAATATTCTATTTGGGGAAAAAGTTGTTGTTTTTGGCGTTGACTTTAGACAAACTCTTTTAGTTGTTCGAAGCGGGAATAAAGAAGATTTTATTAATGAAAGTTTACTATATTCTACCATTTGGGACGAACTTGAAAAATTGCAATTATTTGAAAATATGAGGGCAAAAACAGATCCTGCTTTTTGTGATTACTTGATAAGAATTGGAAATGGACAAGAGAGGGTAAACTTTAATAACAAAATTGAACTTCCAGATTCTATGATTATTCCTTTTACAACTAAAGAAGAATCTCTAAACCATTTATTCGCTATGATATTCTCAAATGTACACACATCCTCCTCTATTTTCTTGAAGATTCTCGCGTTGTTCTAACGACGAAGAATGATTTTGTAAATGAAATCAACGATATTCTTATAGCAAAATTTCCAGAAAAAGCTACTACATTTGTTGGTATTGACGAAACCGTTGAGCCTAATGATCAAAGTCAATTTGAAAACCTATTACACACTGTGAATCCTGCTGGTTTACCTCCTTACAAATTAACTTTGAAAGAGAACTACCCCATTATATTGCTGCGCAATTTGAATCCGTATGAAGGTTTATGCAATGGTACACGGTTAATACGTTGCGATGTTAAGACACATGTTATCAGTGCTAAGATCGCGACAGGCGATTTTAAAAATAAGCACGTATTTATCCCAAGAATACCATTATTATCTTCACAAGACGAAAGATTACTAGTTCAATTTAAATGAACACAGTTCCTAGTAAGATTATGCTATGCTATGACTATAAATAAGGTGCAAGGTCAGACTCTGGATTTTGTCGGAATATATTTGCGAGAACCTGTTTTTTCACATGGTCAACTTTATGTTGCCTTATCGAGAGCAAAAAGTTCAAATTATGTCAAAGTGCTGATCCGACCATCTATGCTAGCCAACCATGATGACCATTCTACATATAATATCGTTTATGACGAAATCATCCAAGGAGCGTCCTTGTAAGTCTTCTGCTACCCCAAAATACAATAATTTTTCTGTTTTATTTTGTCCTTTTACTAACGTATATTTTGTTGCATTTTTTATACACTTAGAAGTACTCACATCTATTTTTTTTTCTTTTTAGTCAAATAGGCGATGAGGTTAAGAGTGGACTTCTACTTACCTCGAGCTCCGAAAGAAGGTCAGTAATGAAAGTTCATGATCATAGATTTATATTACTACTTATAAGATCTTATTTGATCAGATATGATTGATCCACTTATTTTACCACTAATTTGATTTTAACAAAATCAGTAATTGGGTTTATGCGTGTAAAATGAAAAAAACGTCTTGTGGAGTTCAATTTGGAGATGGTGTATTAAGTTTGGTGGTGGAACCTCATGTTGATCATTCATTAGTAATGGTTCTTGTGACTGTTTATGGCTTGATACAACAAAGATCATTTGGGAATCTTTGCTCTATATTACTAAATTTATACCATAAATTTATGGTTAAATATGCTATTATAAGTTTAAAGCACGCGCTAACTATTGTTCTGGTCCACTTATGGCAGGAAATATCAGTTATTTTTTGACAAGGATATGATACTTTGTTCAGTGATTATGGATTCAACCTACTTTGATTCTAATATTTTCTATTTCTTCAAGTTGATCTTGGCTCTGCAATTAAGGTATTGTGTCAAGAGTTCGACTTATTTATACTGGATGTAAGCTATATTCTTAATTCTCCAGTAGCTGGTCTACATCTAGAACCAATGCATTAGTAATAATAAGATGATGTCACTGTGAGATGGAAGAATATGTATGGTATTATCCAACAGCATCGTCTCTGATTTACCTTTTCCTTGTAGCTTCTTTTGGATATGCATATATAGACATAGAGGGAAATTCGAAAGGCTGAGCAAGATGATATTTGTTGTCATTATTTTTTAAACCAGCTTATGGCTGTTTTGAATTCTAAAATATTTGATTGCTCATTGTGATCATCGCAAATATACATTTCTATAAGTTGTTGTGCTTCTGCTAAAAATGACATTGCATTTCTTGGTGTATCTGTACTATAGAAAAGACATATTATATGGTATTGAAACAAAAAAATCCTAAATAGAGTGGAATGGATATAGAGCATTCATATCATTGACCCCCATTATTTTGGTATTGAGTCATCTTTGAGTGACTAATTAATTATCTTTTGTAGAATGTAGAAATATCTTGCTTCTTTGTAGTTGCTTCAAAGAATTTACTTTATCCAATTTCAGATGTCAAGTTGTCAAATAACAGACAGAAGAGAATTCTTTTGTCTTGTCTCCCTTTTTTCTTTAGGTTTCTTGGTGCTTTTGCCATGCTCAGTGTGTCATTTGCCACAGCTTACAACTTGCATCTGCTTTGTTGTGCCTGATAGGTGGTAGTGTTGTGCAGGTAGTAGCAGATATTACTATTGATGCCTATGTCACAGAGAACAATATAAGCCATCCATCTCTTGCCAGTGACATGCAAAGCTTGTGTGGAGTGAGTTCTTCAATCGGGCAACTAATTGGGTACACTATCAGTGGATTTTTAGTTCATCTAATTGCATCTAAGGTTTGGTATCGCTGGCTTAATTCGATCATTATCGATGGAATATTGAGCTAGAGTTTCGACGTGTCGGCTTAGTGTCATTAAATTTATAGTTGAGGATATTGTTGACTTTATACTTATATGTGTCTTCCAGTGGCAATAGAACAGCCACGTCTATTTGGTTTTTATCTGGTTCTAGGATTATTCTTCATTTTCCTTTCTCTTTAGCTTCTTCATCTCTCTTTCACCGTCTGGGAAGACACTTCAACAATTGGGATTTAGATCAGATCTTCTTCTATTTGATTCGTGATTATTTTTCTATTTTTAATGTAACCAAATTTCTCATCATGTTCTCCAATCCGTATAGGATTTTCACTGCTAAAAATTCGTTGAGAATTATTTAAAATTTTTGATTTATTCTGTTTACCTATGTCTAGGGAGTACCATATGGAAAGAGGTTAAGAGATGCACGAGAAGATTCTAGGTGGTATCTGCTTATGCCTTTTATATTACTAGAAGCTCCATTGTCAGGATTTGAATGTGAACATGGAGTTTGTGGAGGGTTCTGAAAGGAGAGTAATACTGATGATAAGGGGAGGGGATGTTGTTATCAGTATGCTGTTAGGATTGTAAGCATTTCGCTTGCTTGATTTCACCAGATATGCCTGCAATGTAGTAAATGTTTTCTACTTTTCTACTTGGATTTTATTCTCTGTTGGTTACTTGGTGCTACTCATAAATTTTTTCTATGCCTCATATGTTCTTGAATTGGGGACCAAAACTTTATTGTCTTTAGTGAGATAGCTTATTGCATTGCTTGTAACTTCAATACGTTAGGCCAAAGATTGATATAAATGCTTTTATTTAGCAAAGAAAATGACAATATCATCTAAATTCAAATACTTGTTTTCGGTTTTTACACCAACTATTAGCTTCTCAAACGTAAACTTTTTTGAAGTGCTAAGAACATATTTAGTAACAACTGTTTAGACAGGACTCCTCAAACTACTAAATTCAAAATAGAAATTCCGACCCTTTGTGACATTGTTCTTTATCAGTGATGCAGGAAGAGTGTGCCTACACCATTTAAAGTTCTAAGTGGCAGGTAATCTTCTTTACATAACCCGATTCACCAACTAAGATCATTTTGTCAAATTTCATGTAGTTACAAAAGTAATTTTGTACAATAATGGTCTTGTAAAAGTTTATTTCAATGATAACAAAGTAAAGTAGGCAAAAAGAATATCTTGCAAAAATGCTCATGAAGCAATTCTAGCAATAGGAAGACTTCAGATAAATGAAGGTGGATAGAAATTTCCTAATGGCTTATTATATGATTATAATGTATGTTGGTATTTTTTGAATATCTATCGTAGTGACTGAAAACTGCATCTTGTATGTTCAATCTCTTGTATATTGCTTCATTGAACCTAAAATATTGCATTTTTAAGTAGGCTTTAGATTCCTTGTTTTCTCAGATATTTTACTATTTTGCAGTTTTCCCCACTTAATTGAAATGATCTATAGGGACAATAGCTCCCCTGATGAGATTTACAGCTAAATCTGCAGTCAAGAGTTTCCGCGATGCGAATAGTGTCAAATGATAGTTTGGTAATGGACAATTCAGCACTAGAGCCATCTCATCTCATATTGCCATTGTCGAGGAATTTGAGGACACTTAACCTTCAACTGAAATTACAGCGAGCGAGGATTGTTTGGAGAATGCTGGTCACCTTCTAACTGTTGAAGTTGACAAAATTCAATCTTTGTCACATGCAGAACTATCACAAGGTTGCATATGCCTAAACAATGAAGTGTTAATTATGCGCTCAGTTATATGTAGACCCATTCAGGAAGATATATTTGTCAATGATAAAAAGTTTTTTTCCGGCTACGTGATTGTAATTACATATATATTAAGAACTGTTATTTTTTACTATACTTACAACTGCAAGTTTGTTGACTGATCTCTTATTGTATCCTGCCACTGTAACGAAACCCAAAAGTATGTCCATACATCGTGTCTTTCATAACTGGACATCAACCAAGGTGAATTGTCTTTAGTACTAACATAGTTACTCTTAAAAAATTACTATCAAGACCTAAAATGAAAAAAACATATCCACTCAATGTCTGACAAGATAACAATATATAACAAAATATAATATTATTCACGTTGGGCCTAGGCTTTGCCCGGGCTAGCCCCACTAGTGAATAAATAATTAGGAGATATCTTTATTTATATAAAAAAAATAAAGGAAGAGAGAGAGACTAATTAGCAAAATTCAATAAAACTAATGTTTTAGTAAATACAATCATCAAGTCACCGACAGTAGGTAGAGTCTGGGGGAATAGTGTTCATGTGGAATGAAGATTGTGTGACTGTCGAAGAGGTGGACACCACCCCCAAAGTCATCCATGATATGGTAAAGGTGAGTCCTAACCACCCTTCATGGCTCTTCTCTGCTATCTACGCCAGCAATATTTTAGCTAATATGAAGCTCCTATGGGAGAACCTAATCACAATCTCCAAATATCTCACAACCAATTGGCTTGTGGGAGGAGACTTCAATAAAGTCTTAAAGGACAGGGATAAATTTGGGAGTAACCCCATAACCCTTAACCGAAACAATCTATTCTGGCATTGTATAAATGAGTGTAAACTTCTAGATCTAGGCTACAAAGGGAGTAAATACACCTGGTCTAATAAAAAGTACAGTAATAGAACCTCGCTTATTCTAGAAAGAATAGATAGATGTTTTGCTAATGAAAGTTGGATACAACAGTACCCTGAGGCAACTGTAGTGCACCTCCCTAGGACCCATTCAGACCACTACCCCTTTCAAATTAATCTGGTAGGGTCTCCAAACAATAATCTGACAAGGCCTTTCAGGTTTGAGTCAATGTGGGCTAGCCTCCCTTCCTTCCCCAATATCATCAATAAGGCTTTCTTAGATCATTCCAATCTCTTCCAATCCATTGATTCCTTCAAAACAATGGTCACCAAATGGAACCGGGAAATATTTGGAAACATCTTCCACCAAAAAAGAAGAATCCTAGCAAGAATTTCTGGAATCCAGAGATCTCCTAACTACCAGTTCAGTAGTTATTTGCTAAATCTTGAAACTAATCTGGTTAAAGAGCATAACTTAATCCTCAAAAATGAAGAGGATTTCTGGAAGCTTAAATCAAGGATTAATTGGCTTAACGAGGGTGATGTTAGCACTAGATTCTTTCACCCCTCCACCCTCAATATAAGAGGAAGGAACAGAATCCTCTCTCTTAAAGAAGAGAATGGAAATTGGCTCCACTAGGGGTGGGCATCGGTCGGTTCGGTTCGGTTATGAATATTATCGGTTTAGCATAACGGTTATCAATTTACAAATTTGATAAATCGATAACCAAACCGATAAGATATCGGGTATTGATTAATTGGTTATCGATTATTATCAGTTCGGTTATTGGTTTACCCGATAAGATAACTCAATCTAGAGTTAAGCAAAAAAGAGAAGACAATTCACTGGAGTTAAGCAAAAAGAAGAAGAATTCACATATAGTATACTACCCATTTCTGCATTCTGTCCAGTGGCCACAACTGGAATAGTAATAATTCTTCAACAACACTTGTCCAAATACATTAATAATAGTACAAAGTAGTAGAAATTTCACCTTAAAATTAACAAGTCCAAATATATAGTACTAACAGTTCAAATTCAAGTTACAAGACAACAACTACACAATCTCTATAGGCTTCACCAAAAAATCAGTAGATAAATACTTATCAAACTGCAAGAATTTCCACAAAATGTTCCAAGGCATTAGCTGCCTCCTCCGATATGATAACAACAATAGTTGATTTAGAATTTTTATTTCACACAAATACCTGCACTTCCACAAGCATTGAAGCCCTCAAACGGTCCAAGATAAACTGGATGTTGTTTGTCAAATGCCTAACCTGAAAAAAGAAACCATAGAGCAAGCCCTATATGAAGATGAATTTTGTTATAGAAATTAGAACCATAATGTATAAGACTAAAGACTTACGGTATGAGTAACTAGTAAGATCTATGAAAAATAAAGATGAAGCGAATAAAGAGTGCGGCTGAGAAAGAATAGGAGATAATGAACAGAAGCACTGGCATATATATACTTAAGGGTAAAGTCGTAATTTTATTAATTCTTATTGGGTTATCGGCTAACCCATTAAAAAATTTGGCAAATCGAGGCCCTAACCGATAACCCAATAGTGAAAAAATTCTAAACCGTTAACCCAATACCGATAACCCAATAAATAATTAACGGTTGGGATTATCGGTTTTACCCGATATATGCCCAGCCCTAGGCTCCACGACCAGAAGGATATCCAAGCAGCCATTATGGGCTTCTTCACTAATCTATATACCACATCCCACTCCCAAGCCCATAGGGCCTTCACCAACCACTACACTATGTATCCCATTCTGTCTGATGCCCAAAGAGCTTTCTTAGACAGACCTCTAGAGTTGAGTGAGATAAAAAGGGCAGTCTTCTCCTACAAACCTTTCAAATCTCCTGAACCTGATGATCTCCACCCCTTCTTCTACCAAAAATATTGGGACATAGTTGGTGACTCTATCACAGAGTTCTGTAAAAAATGTTTTTCTTCAAGTTCTATGGATGAAACCATGAACCATACTCTGTTGTGCCTCATCCCAAAATGCCCCCAAACTTCAATGTTGAAAAGTTTTAGGCCAATTGGACTGTGTAACACAATATACAAGTCCATCACAAAAATTATAGTGAACAAAATAAAGCCTATCTTGCCTCACATCATTGGGCCTAGTCAAGCCAGTTTCCTATCCAATAGGAGAGCTTGTGATAATGTCATCATTGTCCAAAAGTACATCACATACTTTAGAAGAATGAAAGGGAAACATGACAATATGATCCTCAAAATTGATCTGGAGAAGTCCTTTGACAGGCTAGAGTGGTCTTTTATTAGAGACACTCTTTCTACTTTCAACTTCCCTCAAGGTTTATCCAAACTCATTATGTCCTGCATCAGTTTCTCCTTCATCTCCATTCTTGTCAATGGTGGAAAACCTGAATCCTTCAAACCTTCAAGAGGCATCAGGCAAGGAGACCCAATGTCTCTTTACCTCTTCATAATGTGTATGAAAAGATTATCAAGATCAATTGACAAGGCTGTTCTGGATAATCAGTGGCAACCCATAAGTATAAGCAGATCTGGACCTAAAATATCCCATCTTTTTTCGAAGATGACCTAACCCTCTTTGCTAAAGCAAATGACAGGAACTATAACATTATCCTTTCCATTATGAAGAACTTCAATGAACAATCAGGTCAGAAAATAAATCTCGCTAAGTCAAGGATCCTCTTTTCCCCAAATACTCCACAGGAATCCATACAGAATCTCACCAACACTCTATTCATCCAACCCACCTCCTCCTTTGGAAAATACCTTGGTTTCCCCATTTTTCATAAAAATCAAACCAGTGCAGACTTTCAATTCATCATTGATAACATGCAATATAAGCTGGTTGGTTGGAAAACAAGCTGCCTAAACATGACTGGCAGAACTGTGTTGGCTAAAACTTCTTTAAACAGCATTCGTAGTCATGTCATGTAGTACATCAACCTGCCCACTAAATTTACCAAATAGATTGACAAAATCCAAAGGAACTTTCTTTGGGGCACCACTCCTGAAAAGAAGAAGCTCCACCTAATCAGGTGGGATGTGGTCACTAAGAGAAAGACTGATGGAGGACTAGGACTCCAAAAGGCTAATCTTAAGAACAAAGCCTCTCTCACAAATCTTGCCCAGAGGACTTTCAAAAATACCAATAGTCTATAGGCAAGAGTACTAATCCATAAGCACTGCAACATGACCAACAAAGCTAGGATAGTTAGAGCCTCTAGATATCCTAGGCATCCAAAATCATCCACCTGGTAGTGCATCTTAAGGGGTTGGGATATTTGCTGCAAAGCAAGCAGATGGGTAGTTCACAAGGGAAACAGGGCAGCTTCCTAAATGATGTATGGATTCCCAATCAGCTAGCAATTAGAGATTTTATTGAGGGTCCTTTAACCCAAAACAACCTCAATGCTAAGGTTAACTCAATCTACAATCTAGGGACTTGGGACACATCCTCACTGTCTATTGCTCTCCCCCCAAGTATCCTGAATCTGTTAAACTCAATTTTTATTTCCCCAACTCCAAAAAAGGAAGACACCCTCATATGGAACTTAACCCGACTAGCCACTTCACAAATAGTTCTGCATACTCTTTCCTAAGCAAGAGTGACACCAGTCTTCATACTAATGAGGAAGGTTCCTTCAAATGAGTTTGGAAACTACAAACTCTCAACAAAATTAAGAATTTCATCTAGCTCCTCACCCATAAGAGACTTCCCACTAAGAGTTACCTCCGTAGAATAGGGATCAACTGTGATCCCCAATGTTCTTACTGCAACAGTGGCCAAGAAACTATTGACCATATCTTCTTTTAGTGCCCTAATGTTGTCCACTTCTGAAATGAAATACTGTCCAAATCTATACGTGATAATAGACAGCAAAGTCCAGGCTTCAATGACCATCAGTGGCCATCAACATGGAATTCAATCAGGAATTTGCCTTTCAATTGCAATATCATATGGGACAACATCATTCCCTTCTGTTTCCGGCACATCTGGCTAACAAAAAACAAAAATTTATTCAATGACAAAAAGGAGCACATAAACTCTTCAAACACAATCTCCAAAGCTACTGAATACTTTGTGCTAACAAAAAATGGCTCCAACAAAATAACACATCAAATCATAACAAAATGGGAGCCACCAAGAAGAGGCTTCTATAAGCTGAACACGGATAGAGCAACAAAAGAGAATCCAGGGATATGAGGATCAGGATGCGTATTTAGAAATCACAACGGAGACTAGATAATTGGGTATACGGATAACATCCCCCACA